GATTTCAAGAAGGATCTATGGAGTAAGCTAGAGTCCCAGTTTAGTTTAGTAGTGCGCCACAAACAGATGATCATGCAGGAGTAGTGAACCGCAACTTTGGAAATCTTCTTAGGTGTTTTGTAGGAATGAACATTCAAGAGTGAGATTTAGGTCCTTCTAGAGACAAAGCCTTTACAAGCCAGGGAGAATGACCTTCGAGTGTTTCACCAACTTCATTGGATCACCCTTGATCTCAATCATGGAAATTCTGCGAGTCCTTGACACAGATGCTAAATATTCTGCTGTTCAGAAATTTTCCGCTGTTCTGCAGCTGGTAGCTCTTGTGATGGCATGAGTAACAAGAGCCAAGAACTTTTTTCTTCTTTTTCAGGCTCTTTCCTATTTGTCGAATTTTTAAGTAGATTATTTGTTATTAAAGAACTATCGATACATTATTTTCAGATTTTAGAGACTTTTGATTTTGTTAGTGTTTGCAGACATTGTTATCTGTTCTTAGGCTTTTTGTAGCGCAGTTTTTTATTTTTTTTTGGAAGTAGTGTGTTAGTATCTTAGGAACAGGTTGTGGAATCTTTTCAACCTCCGTACCGTGCAGTTTCATCATCCTCTTCGTTGTTTTCAGCTGGGACTGCCGCGAGTAGACGCCAAAGCTTTTTTGTCCAACAGCAGATTTTGCATCCTACCACTTTCAAATGCTATCAAACTCACATATTATCGTTCTCTTCCCACTCAACAACTCTCTCCACAAGGATTGCTTTTTAAATACCTTATAGGTGCCCTAAAACGGTATCACATTGTGAACATGAATTAGTTGGGGTCTTTTTCAGCTTGGTTTTTTAATATCTAGCCGTGCACAATTTGCTAGCTGTACACAAGTTGTTCAAGCGCAGCTTAAATCTTCACCTCTGGCATGGTAGGGACAAATTTCGTTTACCTATAGCTGTATGTATAATAGAGAGAGAGAGTGAGTGAAGAAAGAACTAGAAAGAGAAAGTAGGCCAAAGTTAGTTTTTTTTTTAATTTTTTTTCTGTGGTGGTTCAAATGATTCAAACAAACTAAAACAATTCTTTATCCTCCTAATAAGTGTAAACTGCCAGAGAGGTTTTTTAAAAGTCCATATCACATGTTCAGTTTTGGTAGTCTTTGGCACAAACATAACTACGATTATTAATAGCTCATGGAAAGAGGAGCAAACAGCGGAGAGTTGAAGTCCTTTTCCATCCCTCCCGACTTCAAACCCATATCACCAAAGGCACCTTCTAAATGCCTAATTCTGGAATCCAAGGCCTTTTTTTTTCTTATTTTAGGCTGAATTGCACTGGACTCACTGGCCCTGTGCTTAGGTTTCCCTTCTTGCTCGTTGACAAGGATTGTGATGCTTAATTCCTTAGATGCTTGTATGCAGCAAGGATTAACCTTTTCTCAGATTATCTGATAGTCAAGCTTAGTCTTGTTCTTGTGTGATGAACTGGAAAGGATGAGAGTTTCATGTTAACACAATTTTGGTGGCTCAACAATCATTCATGTTTCTTCGAAGAAATGTCTACACGATGCAAACTCAATGTTTTTGACTAACAATTCTCCATAGAATGCTTCTAGGACGGATAAAGCTAAAGTATTCTTCTTTTAATTGCTTGAGGCAGCTCATTTGGCCCTGATAATGCTTTTATTTTTTTATTAGCTCTGTTTTAAACTTTATGAAAATTTATGAAAGTAATTTTATGATACAAAATATGGTTCTTTTTCATCGTTTCGATCTTTTTCTCTTGCATTTTTTTCATGCCTATTTTTCTCACCAGCAGGCCTAACTGTACTTATGCTGCATATTCTGTGAAGAAAACGGTTCTAGAAAGTATTTAGAAGGGTTTAATGACAGTAAAATATGTTTTCCTTATATCGTTGAATCCATTATACTGCAAAAATGATACGCATATCTTGGTGGTGGGTCTTCCAAGGACTGCTTACTCTTTCTAGGAAGCAAGGGCCTAGTAGTGAATGCTTGCAGTTTTATCAGGCATTTACTGACGGAGCATTTTTGTCCGTTTCTTTGCTTGTTATCTTCTATAACAGAAGAAAGTCACTAAAAAATTCTGGGAACTGCAAATTCATCTATTTTCTGTCCATGCTTTGGCGGGAGCTAACTTTCTTTTCATTTCTCTCCGTGATCGTTGTCTATCCACAAGCATGGCATTACATAGCATAAGTTGCTGTATATCGTGGAAAACCCTGCCCTGAAATAGAAGTTAGTACATCATTTCTATCAGTCTCAAGCTCGCAATTCAGCAACCTTTCGTTGACCAGCTCATACTTATTTAATATTTCTAGAAGGAATAATGCCCTAAAATTTAGTGAATTGAAAATTTGTTTGAATTAGACCAATTTGTTGGTTAGTTTACAAATAATTTATTCATCCAGTCCATTTCTTCTGTCATTTGGTATAACCAAAGCCATACTTCACTTTCTGGGCTAAACAAATTTTGTTATAATTTAGCTACAATTGACTCTGAAGGGAGACTGCAACAAGAATAAGTAGCTAATACTGTCTTCAACAGTTGGCATTAATATTTTATGTTGATGATGTTCGTCTTTGGTCGGTTATTTATATTGGTACTATCATGATTTTTGATATGCTGTTTGTTAAAAATGATACTCAAGGCATTTGATGCATAGTTATGCAATCTTTTGACCCAAAGGTTTTTTAGGAAGGTATTCTTAGAGTTAAGTTTAAATCTGTATCTCCGGGCATTGGTATATTTTTAATATCCTGTTTGGTTAAAAGTTATTAAAATTCATGTATTTTGAGAGTACATTATAAATGAAATACAATTATTTGTTATTTCTCATTGTTATTTTGTTGGTTTTATTGTTTACGCATACAAAGTTTTTATTATTTCTGATGGTAGAATAATGGAAAAAAATCTAAGCAAAATTTTAAAATAAAAAATGAACATTCAAATTTAAAGAGAAAGTTTCATATTCCAAAATCTAAACAAATCATTAAAATAATGGAAAAAAGGATCTTAAAAACCCAATAGAAATTATAAACAGAAGGACTAATCAATGATAGTGCAGGAGTTAGGGTTGGGGTAGGGTTGATGTGAAAGGAGGGCTAGCAGGTGTGGTATAGGAGGTGGGTTGATGTGGAAAGCAAGGTTTTTTGTTGGCGGCGACATGGTAGATGGAACAATTAAAGGTGGGGTCATGAGCCTTATACACATGATGAATTTTTATTTTGCTTACTTTTTGGCGATAGATAATGAAACCTTCGAGGTATTCCAACCCTAGTATAACATTAATTTGCATTAGTTTACTTTGTACCAGTCACCGGAAAATTTATAACTCGTATATTTCTTTTACTTTATACCCATAATAATTACAACCAAACATCCACTAAGAAGAGAATTGATTTCGATACCAGGGTTAACCCAAATCATAATACTGAAAGCAAATATTTGGTTACAATCAAACCCACTTGAAAGAGAAATTACAACAAACAGACTCAAACTCATCATAGGACTCGATCCATGGGTGGTGGAGGTTGGCTAGGTGGTGGGGAGCGGATATAGATGGCTGAAATGGGTTGTACGTGTTTGAAACCTCGAAAGGGCAGGTTGGAATCACAGTGGCAGTGAAGTGGAGGGCATCAATTAGGGTGGCAAGCGGAGTAGCGAGGTTCGGTGGGAAAGGCTGAAACGGCCAGAGGACATCAATAAAACAACAGATGTGCTGTTTTCCGGATAACAGCAACACTATGGGTGGCTGGACAACGATCGAAACAGTGATGCAAGGGAGGTGACAGTGGCAATGGTGAAGGTAAAGGACTGGAAATGTGATGGCAGGGAAGAGGAATGAAAGGAAGGTGATGACGGCGGCTGGGACGTAGAAAACAGCCAAAAGATGTTCCGGGCGGCTGCAGTAAGGAAGGGGTGGCTGGGAATGATGTGGGAGGATGCGGACGAGGATAGAAGATAATCACCACATCGGGAGAGAGATATAACTGGTGCACCACTCAATTCCTCAAATACAACTCTTGAAATGAGAAACGGACGTCGACAGATGTCCTAAACAAAATCATGTCAAAAATAAAATAAAACCTAAAAACAGGAAACACATATACAAGTCGATAACTAGGATTGGATCCTTATGGAAAGGAGGTGCCAATCCCTCGTGGGAGAGCGGATTGGCCCTCCCCGGTTGGCACAGGTTCGGTTTAGACGAAGGATATATCGGGAGAAGCCCGTGGATCCCTCTACGCCGCGCTCTTGACATTATTGTCGCACATGCGGCGTTATTCGCGAAAGAGTACGAGGTGCGTAGCAATGAGCGGTCCAGGCGTAGACGAGCTAACAGTCTAAGAGGCCGCTTTCTGTCTCCCATTCACATCAGTAATCCCAAATCCCAGGAATACTGAATAGGTTCTTGAGAATTCTGACCATGCATTGTTCAGTTATACCTCATTCTCCTATGAAGAGAAAAGGTTCCCGACTTTGTTCCAGCTCGAAGCAAGTGGTTGATCGCCCAACTCGATAGTTAGCCATATTATGCCCTTGTCCATGTCATGCTAGGTGGTATTGCCTATGTAGGTGCTTATCCTATTGTCCCTTGCATTTTACCGGTGGGATTCCTGATTCTATGCTGTAATTTAGGATAACTAATGCAGGCACTTCAGCCAAGATCATTGTAGTTTAATTATTTTGTTTGTCATGACGTAAGCTTTCCTGGTTTTTGAAACTTGGTAATCCTACGCTTGGATTTTTTTTTTCTTTTTTGCACTTTATTGCAAGGTTTTGATTTGATATTCATTCATTAATTTAGTTTTAGCATCTAAATTTTAGGATAGCAAAAGAAATGAAATGAATTTAATCTTCTTTCTGATTTTAATATTCTGTAGCACCTAGTTTGTGATTAGAGGGCCTTATTCGATTTTTTGCATTCAAATTCTTAGTATTTAAAATAGGGCTGTGATGTTTTGATCATTTTTTTTTCATATTTAAATTTGCAGGATATAAGGTTGCGGGATCGGTCCAGTAGTGAAGGTTTTTCAAGGTTTCATAAGGAAGTAGTTCAAATGCATATTTCTTATACCCTTAGATATTCGTTGAGGGTAAATCTCAGCAGTTTTCTGGTAAATTATGCTTATACTTGTATATTTTATTTTCTCATCAACGCCCCTCTGTTGTCTGCAGGCATATTCATCCATCCTTTATCTTCGGACGTTAAAAAACTTTCAGATTATCTTAAGAGGCAAACCCGTGGAGCAAATAAAAATTGCAGATGAATTGAAATTCAGCAAGTCAATAACCTATAAGCCACAAACAGTGGCTTCTGAAGATGTGAGGAGTCATTTTCTGTTTCATCCTTTTCTATAATTATGTTTCTTCTTGATTAAGATTTAATGTGCTTATAAATAGCAAATTTTGTCCATTCCCTCCGACACACAATCCCGTGTGTGCTATGGCCTTTGAGAGTTTATTGGAAAGAATAGTCGTGTAGCCATGAGAATGATTAAAGCTTCGTGATATCATAATATTTGTGTTCTGTAAATGTGAAAGAGGATCCCAACAAAAGCTTCCCACTCTAATCTCCCTATGCCATTGGTCATGGCTCAACTATCGTACACCTTAGATTTGAACTGACTAGTGCATATTGTTCTCGGTAATCCTAATCCATCAAATTGAGAATCAAGCCATTTTTCATTACTTTCAGGATTTCAGAATCTGGATCTTAACTGATTTTTCTTGGAAACAACCATGCATTGACAGTGCTAGCTTTGGATGATAAATCTTTCTATTGTTTTACTTTCCAAAGCCCCGAGCTGCCATAGTTTTGATTTGTTGATTTTACATTGTAGAAAGTGCTCCACATGAAAAAATAATTTAGTTGGTTCATTTTGATTGGACTTGAGGATTTTCTTACGAACTTAAAATGCTTTTCCCCTTCAAATTCATATAAATGCTCTTTTTTCTCTCCAATTGTTTAATGAATTTTCTTATAAGATTGTTTTTCCTCTTTGGGCTCAAGGATCTTTGTTTGTAATATTTTACACACATACCTTGGAATTTTTATCTATTTACATATAATATTATTATTTTTTATTTGCATGACACCCTTATCTCTAAATGACAAAGAATCTATTCATGAAATGGCGTGTTTCAAATTAGGTAAATTGCTGTCAGTGGTATTTTTTCTGTCATTTAGAGATTGAAGTGCTAAATGATTCATATAATAATTTGTGTTAGATATGTAAATGGATAGAAGTTTAGTGCTATGTATTTAAAACCACTATTTTTTTTTAGTTTAGCATGGTCATTTTCTTTCTTGCGTTGACCTTTAGGATAGTCTTTAATGCTGTATGATGTTGGAGCCAAGGTTTAGTTACTTGAGGGAACTAACTTATATGATACCTTAGGATGACAATTAAGTTGATTCACTTCAATTCTACTAGAGAAACTTCATACAAGTTTTTTGAAATACTTTTGTTTCTTTTGAAATGCATCTATATATCCTTTTTCTCTATGTTGTTTTGAATGCTCTGTGGCCAAAAGAAACATTGTTTGCTTGTATTGTTTTTTATTTATTTTTTTATATTACATGGTCTTTTTTTATTTTTGCGTAGACCAAGAGCATATAACATTTTATATGGTACGTATTACGATCCGACATCAAATTCAACATATTTTTCCACAGAAATTAGGGTAAAGATAATATTTTTCTTTAATATTCAAAACAACTCAATACAAGTACAAAGATAAATACCTACAACTCGAGAGGTTGGCGATCTTTTCAAATTCATACAATTTGATAGGTAGGAAATCTATCACAAACCCTAAGCCTTAGACTCACAACAATAATCTCATGCATAAATCTATTTATAAACATAATGAACCTGTTTATATCCAATAATAGTAATAATAAAAGACTAAATTGTCCTTAGACATAAAAAAGACAAAATTACCCTTAGGCTATGCATCGATATAACAATACTTCCCCCAAAGACACATTGTCCTCAAGGTTGGAAGAGTGAATGTTTATCCTCCACCATAACTGTCTCTATTCTTTCTTCCTCTATCTCCTTGTCATGCAATATGTGAACTTGTAATTTTTGATCCTTGCAACTGTGTCCTAGGTTAAACTTATCAACGCATCGAAAACATAACCCTTTGGATCGCTTCTCTCGATTCTCTGTCTATGTAAGTTGATTGAGCGACGTTATCGATCGTGGCCCATTACTCCTATCCTGTCTAACCTCCCTCTAGACTTCCACTATTTGAGCTCTTGGTATCATCATGGTTGTTGTAGTTTGGTACGACGCTCCATTTGTGTTGCTCTTGCTAACCCTCTTCATCTGGCTTTTGTCTTCCATTATTTGGGCTATCTTAGTCTTCTCTCTCAATCCCCATGGTGTCAATAGTCATAATGCTGCCTGCTTGTCGGGCTTTAGGCTCTTAATGAGATTCCCCTCAAATCATCCTTTAGAAATCTTTCTCAACTGTCCCGACAAGAGCTCAAATCTGTTTCTATATTTCATGACAGTCTCCTCCCTAGTCAAGGCATAGAATTAGTTGTTTAGGGTCTTCTTTCTGAATGACTTGAAAATGTTCAAATCATCCTTAAATTCATTACACGAACAAATCAAGTATCTAGTCTGCCTCCATTGAAATTAGGCTAGGGCTTTCCCTTCCAAACATAACTTTGCCACCATGAGTTTCTTCTCCTCATCTAGTCTATTCACCGAGAAGTATCACTCCACTCGATACATCAACCCATGTATATCTTCCCTCTCAAGCATCCTAACCCTAATATGACCACCCCAACTTCCTTTTCTTCCGCTATTTTCCCCCATATTTCGAGGGTAAAATTCTTTTTTCAGATCATAGCAATACCTTTCTCCCGACTTTTCTTCTTTCTTCTTCGTACTATTTCATACCCTTTACATAACTCTTTCTCTATGTTTCAACTCACCTGCCTCCATCGGAATTCTCTAATCCACCACCCATCGGAGCTTTGGGAGGATGTTCTTGTTGATGGGATGTTTTTCTCCTCGTATGCCTCTCGTCCGATCTTTTTTTTCTTTCGATATAGCCATTGAATCTCAAATCAACCCTTGGGTATAGTTTGCAAACTAAACTGCCGGTTTAGTCTTGGATTGTATCTCAATAAGCTTCCTTAGCATCTCCTCCAAGATATCTAATCGGTTGTCAATGGCGGAAAATGTTTTCTCTATCTCAAATTTAAGATGCCCCACTTGTTTCTCCAATTTTTTCTCAAAATTGCCTATTTTCTTGGCCGCCATTCTTTTTTGTAACTAGGGCATGCTCGATCCCGGATCTGGTTGCTGACATCTAGGATCATGAGTAGGGCACCTGATTCCGTCGAAACCTTTTCTATTTGGCCTCTATCTGTTCTATTACCTAGATAGCTCGAGTTGTGATTGTATTGCAAGGCTTTGGTCTCAACCCTATACGATCCCATTCACTTCTCCAGCAAGCACTGATTACATCTATATCACAGGACTAAGGAGCAGGAAGATGGCCTTTCAGGTCTCTATACGTTGCTTCAGTCACAACCTTCACATTTAACTCTGATCATGACTGTATCACGTGCATAGAACTGGAGGTGGCAAAAGATGGAGTTTCAAGTTTCGGTAAGCCATGATTCTTTGCACGAAGCCTTCTTAGGTAGCTCTTATCAAGACTGTATGTGAAGGCAACGAGAGAAGATGTGAAAGATGGAGTTTCGAGTCTTTGATTCCTAGTATCTTGAGCTCTAATACTAATTTGATATGATTCGGCGTCAAACTCGACATATTTTTCACATAAATTAGAGCAAAATAAATATTTTTCCTTGATAATCCAAACAACTCAATACCAATACAAAAATAAACACATAAAATTTGCTCTCCCAATTCCTATAATTCAAGAGGCAGGCAATATCTGTCAATTCCTTCAATTCGAGAGGTTTGAAATCTCTCCGAAATCCTAATATTGTGGGAGGGACAAGGTGCCGAAACTGTTACAGTACCACGGAAGCAGTACTGTAGCTGTTACAATACCATAATCTAGCTTTTCTACCTTTCTGAGTTGATCATTTCTCTTTCTATGACTTTCCTTGCCCACATCCCTTTTCTATTCTAGCCTTTTCCTATTATATTATTTTTGCTTTTTATTTTCTTTCCTTTCTTATGTCCTATTCCTAGCCACTAGCTTCTAATATATTTTGTGCTTTGTGCTTGTCTGGAAGGGTGATTTTGTTTGTTTTTTATTTTAGACTATGACCTCAAAACCATTTTCCCTTTTCGAGGGCACTATCCGAGATCGAGAAAGTACTACGATTGTAACTCGTCTGAGGTGGTGATTATCTCTGCTTATTCTTCCATTGTTGTTATCACCAACCACGTTGACTCCTTCCCTATTGTTTTTCAATGCTTGTCTTGCTGCCGATAGCCACACATACACCATCTCTGCCACTGTCCGGACTACCGTCATCTTCCGGCCGCTGTTCACACTTTAGGTTGTTGTCCAGTTTGCTTCCCTACTCCTTCCAACAAGCATACAACATTGCCCTTGTTGCAGGTTGCCGCTCGCCCCTTGCTTTCCCCTCCAACACTACCGCCACCTGCTGTCAACTAACTACCTACCCTACAACAATTCCTTTCCATCGTCCTACTGCACTCCTCTAGAGAGGCCATTAATGTGTTCTTGTGTTATTCCCTTTTCCCGTAGTCATCATAATCGCTTGCTATTTGCATGTTTGTGTTGTTTTATTGTCATTGTAAATGTTTGGATTCAGAAATAATATATGTTGTTTAGTTGTGGTTTGGGTTAACTCTGATATTATTTGGTATCAAAACTAGCTCAACTCTAGTCTTTTTCTAGGGTTTCCTAGCATCCACCCTACCTAAGCCAGCTCCACCAAAAAAAATGTTTCTTTTCCACCAACTACCAAATCATAAACAAATTTGACCAACCCTTTGTTTTGCTGAAATTCGAAAATAACAACCCTAAATTAAATTTTCTACACCCTCAATTAGTCTCATACACCCCCTTTCACTTTTCCCTCCAAACCCTAGGTCTGCCACCATGGGTATACATGCCCGAGCCTAGCCGAGATGAGATACAGCGGGAGATCCATCGACTCAGCGGAGGCTTGCAGATATTGAGGTTGAAACTTAGGGGGAGATTATCCTTGATCGATCGCAATATGGAGAATCCAAGGGGAGTAAGAGACGAGGGTCTGAATCCCTTCCATAGAGAGGAATTTTGTGATGCAGAAGACGACCACGAAATCTTGGAATCTAATATCAGAGGAGGCCGAGAGAAGAGCCAACAAATGGAGAACGGGACAATCTGAAGATGAAATCAGTGATCTAGCGTTAGTTCCTACTAGCTTACTATAGATAAGATTCATACTCTAGCTTCAAAAGTGGAAATGCCACATAACCGGATGACTGCCACACTCTACATGCAGCGCTCAACCTTCGAGTCTCACTGTCAGTTTACCCCCCGGAAAACATTCAAGCTAACCCTATCAAAGAGAACAAGTGGAACCAATCCGCATCCTTAAATCTATCCCAGCTAGGAAATTTTACAATTACCACAGATTTGGACATCTTGAATCACACTGCACAAATAGGGGGGTGATCTGTTCATTGAGTAGGGTGCCTTTGAAAAAATTGGGTAATGACAATAGACACTGAAGACAGTGAGAACATAAAGGAGAACTAGCTTCCAATTGAAGAAAAAATGCACATAGTCCCAACTGAGCTCATGGGAGAGACTCCAATTTGCTTGTCGGTGGGTATCTATTGCAGTCTTGAGTTCGAGGAACTACCACTAGAGGCCTGACAACCTCAAATAAGAAAATATCTGACCATTCAGATTTATAAACTCATTCTTGAGTTGCTCTTTTTCAGGGAGGTTCCATACGTCAGAAATGTGTCCCTTATATGCCACGTCGAGAAAGATTACATAAAGTTATTCAAATGTTAGATTCAGTTCAGCATGGTACCCGTCATCAGATGTCCAGGCAGGAGGAATGAACCCCTTCCTTGAAATTTGTCTTAGAAGCTTGATGGGGAAGGAAATTCTTCTAGAGAATCTAAATCCTATCACTGAAAAAGATGTCTCTCCTGAGTGATTGCTAGTGAGAGTGCTATAGCCTGCTATAAATTTTATCCCAATGTTGATTTCACCTCACATACATGTTTAACAGCTACATTTCGCTGAGTATGAGAAGTGAAAGAAACAATTTTCAGATTTAAGAGCTTGAGAGTTCTTTTGTTAAAATCTACATCCATATGCTGCTCCAGCTCAGGTGCCAAAGATGATGCATATTTATTATATCAAGATATGCTGTGGAATGACAACAACTACAAGATCGATCTGTAAGGAGAGTACAATGTTTATTCTCCGTTCAATATTACGAACCTAACTTTGTACTGCAAGGATCCCAAAGTTTTTACAAATGAAGTCGATGCTCTCTCCAACCCTGGGAGATTGACGCGAGAGCTTGCCAGGATGCGGTACTGTAGCTAATACGATACAACATATGTGGTACTGGAACTGCCACAGTATCGTTGTCTATCTCTTCTATCTTTTTCTAGTTGATTATTTCACTTTCTATCACTTTCTTTTCCTACCTTCCCTTCTTGTCCCAGCCTTTTCCTATTATATTACTTTTTCTTTTTATTTTCTTTCCTTTTCTATGACCTTTTATTCCTCTCTACGAGCTTCTATTATATATGTGTTATGTGCTTGTTTAGAAGGAAGATTTTCATGGGTTCTGATTTCAGATTGTGACCTCTAAGGTGTTTTCCCCTTTTTAGGGCTCTATGCATTTGATAAGGTGTTCGACTATAACTCGTCTGAAGTGATTATCCCAACTTAGTCCTTCACTTGTTGCTAAGGCCAACCATGTGGACTCCTTCCCTGCTGTTGTTAGATGCTTCCAATAGCTGACCTGCAGCCGCCAACCATGCAGACACCATCCCTGCCACTGTCAAGATTGTCGTCATCATTTTTTGGTCACTGTACACCCTTTAGGTTGCTGTTCGTACCGCCGCCGTCATCTTCGGATCGCCACACCCTTCAAGTTGCTGTCTAGATCACGATTGTCATCTTTTGGTAGCTGTCCACCCTTCAGATTTCTGTCTGGATTGCCTATGTCAGCTTTCTGTTGCGGTGCACCGTTACCAACTCCTTCCAGCAGACCACCAAGCATCTCTGCCCTTCCTGCAGGTCACTGATCGCCCCCTATTGTCCCTCCAACATCGTCGCCACCTGCTGCCAACTACATACCATCCCTACAATAGCTTCTTTTTTACCGTTCGAATATTCCACACTCCTTTAGAGAGGGACGTTTATGTGTTTTGTGTTTCTTCATTATTTTTGTAGAGTCCTCATTATTGCCTGCTATTTACATGTTTGTGTTGTTTTATCGTCATTGTAACTTTTTGGATTTAGAAATAATATTTGTTGTTTGGTCGTGATTTGGGATAACTCCGGTATCACCTAAACTTAAGTCTTAAGTCTTACTTCAATAATCTCATGTATAAACCTAACCCTAATTATAATAAACCTTTTATACTCAATAATAATAATAATAGTAAAAGACTAAATTGCCTTTAGTCTTTGCATTGACACAAATATGCTGAAGGGATTAATTTCCTAGTACACAGAGAGCATGAAAATGAGCTCATAATGGTTATTAGCATAGGAAAATGGAGCTATTTTTTGTGATACTTATCTCAAATATAGTGATATGCTTATTCAATCTTTTTATCATTTAAATTTTTAGTACTTTTTTCTGTAAAGAACTGGAGATTTTTTGCAAACAAAATTTTTTGCAAGTTGAGCAAATAAAAACATCCACTTTTATTCTGGAGAAGTACACTTATCATATTAAATTTGCATCCGCTTACTCAACTTGGATGGGTTTGAATTTTTGTAATAGTAAACGATAAATGGTTGTGTTACTTTCAACTTCTTTTCAGGCTGTGGCAAGAACAACAATTGGTTTTGCAAAAGAGGCTCCTGTTCTTGGTATTTTCGGTGTAAATGTATATCACAAGAATCGGCTTATCATGGTAAGTTTTTTCTCCTTTTTTTTTTCTACATGTTTATATATTCATAAATGCCCCAAGGTCATGGTGCGATGGCTAAGTACGTACCTTGGTTGAGGAAGTAGTACCTTTTTATTGTTTATGATACAAAAATTACAAATCCTTTGTTAAAATAATTAAGAAGATTTTTTTTTTTACTTGGAAAGAATTCATTATAAAGTTTTATTGACAAGCAAATTTAATTTAAATTACTCGTCTGAAAGTTAGAAATTTAGTTCCAAATCCATTTAAGTCATTTATGTTTGTTATCAAAATTTAGCAAACAGGAGCAAACTCTTACTCTATGTAATGATTGACATTATTTATCTATTGGAGTGTTTCCCGTTATTTTCTTTCTATTGCTGTTTTTCTTTTTTGTTTCTGGATAAATGTATTTTAACTATGCATTTTTAACGCTTTTTTACTAGTTAATGCTTGTTGTTTGATTCAGTTTTCTCGAGAAATGAGAGATGATTGGTTTTTTCGACCGATCAACCTCCATTCTAATAAATTACCTTAGTGATTGTTGATCATTGGGGGGGGGGGGGGGGGGGGGATATGAGATGACGCGAGAGGTTGGGAACTTGAAGTGGCGGATTTGATCTATGAATCAACGCGTACGAAGAGATATTAACGAGATCAAGAAGCTTCGTAGCAGACACTGGCTTTGAGTATGAACGACTTAACGGGGGAGCCAATCAATGCGTATGAAAGTAGGATGATCGACCAGTGCATGCTAGGGCTTCCCCGTGCATCAGTCGAAGCCAAAGGTGACATTGACCAGCAACAACGTTTGTGATTGTTGGACATAGGAGATGAGGTGCTAGGGCTCAACGAGGGTGAAGCTTGTGATTTATGCCAAAGACTCGTAGAGCAGGTAGGGCGACAACGTGGGAAAATCGAAGTAGAGGAGTGACTATGGTGTTGTGTGCTGGGGAAGAAAGGAAGCCTGTGTAAGAGTAAGCGGAAGGGCGAGTCGAGCTATTAAAGGTAAGAGATGACTTATGAATTTTACATTTTAATTATTAGGTTTATTTAATGTAAATGTTATTAAACGAATTTTAGAGTTTTTATTTTGAATCAAGGATTAATAATGGTTTTGATTTAAATGATTAAAGTTTTGAATACATTTTTTTTTTAAGTGGATTGGGTTTCGTTGCGTACAAAATAGTGGGAGAGCCAAGCCGAGTTGAAATTTTGAGGAGGTAAATTTTAATTTTTGAGTTCTATGTTTTTAATCATATAAAATACTATTATTTTAATATTCAACTTTATGAATTATTAATAGGGATTAAATTTTGGTTTTCATTCAAATTAAAAGAGTGGGAACGATTATGATCAAGCATTGAGTTTGGGCTTGATAAATTTTGAACCGATATTTTAAAGTAATATGATGTAAAATAGGAATAAAAATAATACTGATCATTTTTAATATACTTTTTTAATAAGGATTGAAATATTTATAATTTGAACATAGCAACAGAATAAGAATTAGAGTTGAAGGGGTTGGGGGGGGGGGGGGGATATGAGATGACGCGAGAGGTTGGGAACTTGAAGTGGCGGATTTGATCTATGAATCAACGCGTACGAAGAGATATTAACGAGATCAAGAAGCTTCGTAGCAGACACTGGCTTTGAGTATGAACGACTTAACGGGGGAGCCAATCAATGCGTATGAAAGTAGGATGATCGACCAGTGCATGCTAGGGCTTCCCCGTGCATCAGTCGAAGCCAAAGGTGACATTGACCAGCAACAACGTTTGTGATTGTTGGACATAGGAGATGAGGTGCTAGGGCTCAACGAGGGTGAAGCTTGTGATTTATGCCAAAGACTCGTAGAGCAGGTAGGGCGACAACGTGGGAAAATCGAAGTAGAGGAGTGACTATGGTGTTGTGTGCTGGGGAAGAAAGGAAGCCTGTGTAAGAGTAAGCGGAAGGGCGAGTCGAGCTATTAAAGGTAAGAGATGACTTATGAATTTTACATTTTAATTATTAGGTTTATTTAATGTAAATGTTATTAAACGAATTTTAGAGTTTTTATTTTGAATCAAGGATTAATAATGGTTTTGATTTAAATGATTAAAGTTTTGAATACATTTTTTTTTTAAGTGGATTGGGTTTCGTTGCGTACAAAATAGTGGGAGAGCCAAGCCGAGTTGAAATTTTGAGGAGGTAAATTTTAATTTTTGAGTTCTATGTTTTTAATCATATAAAATACTATTATTTTAATATTCAACTTTATGAATTATTAATAGGGATTAAATTTTGGTTTTCATTCAAATTAAAAGAGTGGGAACGATTATGATCAAGCATTGAGTTTGGGCTTGATAAATTTTGAACCGATATTTTAAAGTAATATGATGTAAAATAGGAATAAAAATAATACTGATCATTTTTAATATACTTTTTTAATAAGGATTGAAATATTTATAATTTGAACATAGCAACAGAATAAGAATTAGAGTTGAAGGATTATAATGTAAATTAAAATAATAAAATAAGCAAACAATATCTAATAATAATTAATTAGTATAATTAATAATGTGATAAAATTAATCTGTATATTTTTATATAATAGTGCTCTATTGACGGTGTTGCGGCTAAAGAAATAAGTTTTGGAGAACATTGAGGTGAGCACTTGTACTATTATGTGATAGTATCTTTTGTTTTTGATAAACTGAATTTATTAATTGTTATTAAAGTTTGATTGCATTATTTTACTGTGATTTATACGCTCTTTTAGATATTGGTTATATCATTGTAATGAATTACCTTTTTAGAATTACTAATGTTATGAATTATTTAAAGGTAGAATTGAATGGAAATACCATATGAATGATATAGACTATATAGTATACTTTCATGTGCATGTTTAGTTTTAATTGAATTCATCTCTTTATGGTACTAGTTGGAGAACGCTAAAGCACCCGTGCACGTAAATGAAAAAATTATTGTTATTGGTGTACTTTCATTTATATAATTTTATACAGTGCATCTATGACAACCGTACATATATAAAATGATATAGCTATATTAGTACTATAGTAAAATACATTGATTGTTATGAATTATTGTTAGCGATCATATCTGAAAATGTAAATTGTCTAATATTTCTATATTAATTTATATTAATTGGCTAACATGTATACTGTTCTGTTTCTGTTTTGTTGCTTTAACGAGTATTCACTGGCTTTTTATTAGTTCACTGTTTTTTTAAACTAATTTTACATGTTTAATCATTTGATTAAAAATGAGCAATGGAAGAAGAAATATATATAGAAGACATGACCAACTCGAGCTAAGATAAAAATTTGATTGCAATATTTTTATTTACTTTCTTTAATAGTTCTTTTATTTTATTTGTACTTTAAACTGTTGATGATAAAAAAAATATATAATAGAATTACATGATTATCTTTGTCTGATCGTTTGTTTTTGTCTTAGAAAATTCTAAGCATCGGATTGGGTCGTAACACTTGGAAGGTGTGATGAAACAAAATTACGTTAGGAAAGTTGTAGGATTGATTAAGTTAGTGGAAAGAGAGATGGCGGCTGATAATCAACACGATCGGTGATGGAACAACGAATTGGAAGCGAGAAATGGAGAAATTCTTTGTGTAAACATTTGATGGCGATGACTTTTACAACCGCTTGGCTGAAAATAATGAATTGCAAGGTGCAGACTGGAAAGGGGGTTGCCACCGATTTCTTAGCAATCTGTAGACACACGACTTCCAATAGGAAGATGCTACAATACTTTAGAGAACAGAAAATTAGAGAAAAATATCTTAATTTATAAAATCAGCAAACTGAAAATCCAAACTGCCCAATACACATATATAAAAGTCTCCTGATAAAAAATATCGTAATTAAAAATAAGAAAATAAGAAAGAATTCGAAATTAAAGAAACAAAGGAAGAAATTAGCTGAAAGCAAGAGAAAGAAAGTAAACATGGAAGGATTGCCAGTGTTGGCTCCTTTGATCCTGTGAGGTTTCATGATATTGCGGATGTGGTAACAATGCACTTGCATCATTCCGACAGCTAGGAAAAGATTTCTTGTTTTTTTTGGAAACGCCTGGATCCTAGTGTTTGATGTTATTTCTCATAAAACACCTATAAAGATGTCCACTGTAGCAGATCGACACTTTTATTTGACAATTTGTTCGTGAGTGCATCACTGACCTAAAATAGAATTTTGTATCCAACTTACTCCTTAGGGCCTTTCTGAAGCAGCTTAGTGACTCTCCAACTCTATTTGAAATGATGAGAACCACTTTCAATGGGGACTATAATGTGTTTCGTATCCGTCTCTCAAATGCTTCGCCTTCGTGGGAATCAATGCAAGTCTTTTTGGCGCTTCTCTTAAGGCATGCACAAAAATTATTTATGTCGCCGCATTCTCAAATGTTGTAGATTCCTTCCAAGGCAAGAGTATAATGCGCTTCTTTTTTTGGTGAAAGAGTCGGTGTTCTTGTAGCCATTATGATATGTGCAACAATCATGCTGTCAAGAACGACTAAATAGATTATGACATGAATCCATATGCACCATGTCACACTCTAGTTTCTTCTAAAACTTATCTCCAATAGAAAATTTCACGAAACATCTCTTGTCAACACTGATTTTACTCCCCTTAGTTAGCCATGTCAGGGAATATGACGTAGGATGCTTCTAGTAGTGATGCTCAATTTATCCACAAACTGTGTTGCAGTCATATTTTCACAACTACCTCCATTTATTATGAGGCAGCACACCCTTCCCTTCACAATTCAACGAGTACAAAATATATTATGTAGAGCTACTGTTGCTCTCTTGTGGGCTAAGTTTGAAGGACTTATCAGATTACTAGCATCTCTTCCTTATCTGTGGGTAGCCAATATTCCTCTCCATTCTCCTCTGGGTCTTCACCCCTTGCTTCCATTGCATCCTGCTTAGTGAAAGATATCAATTTTTTGTTTGGGCAATCAAACACAATGTGCCCAA